TAGCCCTAGTTTAGCATTCAAATAATCAAATCAAATCGGAAATGATGGCTTTCTCCGACAGGTAGAAGGCGTTGAGGTTCAGTATGATTACTATTGGCTGAGATGGCAGATGCACGTGTAGTGGAGGACAACATCGTGAGAGCAAGATCTCGCTCTAAACTTCTAGGTATAGCTGATTGAGATGCAAGGACAAAGTTTCCGCATTTGTAAAAGCCATCAACGACAATGAAAGTTGTCGACGAATGATGTCCCCACGTGTGTCAAGTCTAAAAACGCCTTCCGAGTAAGGGTTTCAACGTGCATGCAATATAAGTACTATGCGTGGAATATGGACAACCCCGATATATAGAACTACGAACGACTCGCTGAACGATCTCTTAAGAGTCTCCACGCTCTACACTTTCCTAGCAATCACATTATCGTAACGTAGTTTTCAGTATACGTTAATGAGACGCCATTGTTTTACCTCGTCTCATCCGCTGGTGTGAAAACAAACCACGCACTCCTGTCTCTGCTGTCTCTGCTGTCTCTGCTGTCCTCGCCGTCCTCCTTGCTATCACTGTCATTGCTGTGCCCGTTCTTACTGTCATCCACGTTGCTATCCTTGTTATCGTCTTTGTTGCCATTCTTGTCGTCCTAGTGGTCTTTAGCTATTCCTCTTTAATAGTGACCGAAGAGCTTCGTACAGAAAATCACATCTTTCCCATTGGCCCAGAGGGCTCAACCCAAAAGAGTCCACCAAAGAGACCCATACAAACCCTGGCTTCATCTGACTACTAATGCTTGTCTCTGACGTCCACAGCCTTTCTGTGTATAATGATAGAGAAGCCTGCAGTTTGTTAAGTTATACCTTTTAAAATTTCATATGTTCTCAAAAGTCCTGACATCTGGGCGGAGTAGAACGTCACCTCTATTGCTGAAACCATCCCTGACGTTATTATTATTCCTATCATCCTTATTATATGTATATTTTCTATACCTATTACCTCCTGCTATCATACCATCACCCTATTTCTATTAACTTCGTGCGGTATGAAGACGCAGGCCAACGATTGAAGGAGCAAAAACGGACAACCGCATCACTTGATGAGCGTGAGGAACGGGATGAAGAAACAAAAATAACTCCTCGACGGGGAATTGAACCCCGGTCCCCGGCGCATTGTTGTCAATGACAAGCCGATATCCTCACCACTAGACTATCGAGGACTGATGGTATTGAAGCAAAGTAAGGTGGATATGAAGCTAGGTGACGATCCCCACTTAGGGTTGACTCAGTGGCGGCTGGCGGCTACAGTAGTGTGGTCGGGCACGACAAGCCTAGAAATTTTGCTGAGATGGCAAATTATGCAGCGGCTTATAGCTGGATTATGCGTTTTATCCTCTAACGTACTGGCATTCTGATGTTGTAATTGGTGTTTGGTGACATGAGCCGTTGCGAATCACAGTGGGTTCGTCTATGGAGCGAGTCGGCTTAGAGACATGGCCTACCCAGACTCACAAAAGAGCCTTTGCCTTTCATTGCGCCAAATGCACACTACTGAGAACTGACGGGCCTACTTGCGATGCCATCGTAATGTCAAACGAATATTATGAACGTTTCGCGCATCATGCTTTCAAACGGGATTAGGTGGATCGAGTTCAATAGCATCCATATCAGTCTCAAGTAAGACCGCAATTCATAGAGGCACGATCGTAAAACATAACAGTTTAGGTAGTGAGGGTCTGGGGAAGGCGTGGACGACGAAGAGGGACGAAGAGGGACGACGAGGGACGAAGAGGGACGACGAGGGACGACGAGGGACGAAGAGGGACGACGAGGGACGACGAGGGACGACGAGGGACGACAAGAATACTAACAATGAGGATGATGGGAATGAGGATGATGATAATGAGGAGGAGGAAGAGGATCAGTAATACAAACTACTTGAGGCGAAGTTTATAGCCCCCGCTGGTGAGCAGTAGAAAATCCTGAAATATTAAGCAAACTTTTGCCTTCTATTGCGCCAAACTCTATGAAAATGCTTTCCGTTTATGATCGCTTATTATATGATGCATGCTTTTGTTTTCCTGTCCCATTTCCAAATCAGAAACGCCTCACTGCCTGTAAATGGCGTCCGCCATCTTGGCCACCTGACACATCTCAACGGCATCGTGGACTCTCACAATATCCGCGCCGCCCTGAACCGCCGAGACGACGGTGGCAGCCGTGCCCCAGATGCGCTCCTGAGGACTCACGACTCCAAGAACCTTGCCGATGAAGGTCTTACGGCTGGAGCCAATCAGCCACGGAAGACCCTCTAGACCAGGCCAAGAGCGAAGCTCGTCCATGTGGCGAAGAATCTCGAGGTTCTGAGTGGCCGTCTTCGCAAAGCCTAAGCCGGGATCGAGAATGATGCGCCAGCGGCGCACTCCAGCAGCCTCGGCTTCAGCGACTCGGTCGAGCAGCTCGCGAGCCATGGTAGGAATGATCCCATCAGGGTAGTCCGTCAGAGATTGCATGGTCCGTGGCGTGCCACGCATATGCATGAGACACACGGTACGGTTACTGCGTGCCATATAGGACAGCATGTCTGGGTCGAGCTGGCCGGCCGAGACGTCGTTGATAATGTCGGCACCGGCAGCAACGGCGGCTTCGGCAACAGAAGCGCGCCACGTGTCTACGCTGACGGCAAGGTGGGATAGCTCGGGGAGGCTGCGGACGAGCTTGATGACAGGGAGAACACGGGATATCTCTTCCTCAGCCGAGATGTCGGGCCGACCCGGAGACGTGGAGGCGCCGCCAATGTCGATCATGGTGGCGCCGGCTTTCGCAAAGGACTGCAGTGTTGAGATGAGGTTGTCAGGAGTGTGGACACCGCCGTCAGAGAAGGAGTCTGGGGTGGCGTTGATGATTGCCATGACATGAGTTTTGCGGGTAGGCGTGAGTGTCACAAGGGCTTGTTGGCCGGCGGAGATGGGAGTCAAGGGCGAAAGGGGTGCAGCTGCAGGTGGCAGCTCATTGAGGTAGTCGAGGGTGAGTTTCCACGGATTTGATGCGTAGAGGGGCTTATGAGGGATGAGTCTGGGTGAGTGTCAGTCACAGTCGGTGAGTTGATACTCAAAATGAACTCACTCTGCGAGAGGTCGCAGGACAAACTCCCGCTCAGGGATACCGATGTGGGGAACATTGAGACGCGGATGCTCAATCTTCTCATCGCCATACATGAGGATGTCAAGATCGATATTTCGCGGGCCCTTGTCGATCAGCTTTTGGCGACCCAGAGTGCGCTCAATGTCCTGCAGTTCATCGAGAAGGGCCAGGGGTTCCAGGTCGGTCACAACCTGCAGACCATCCGATCAGCTCAGCTCGGCTGAGCTCAAACTCAATTACACAAAACGGGCCCATGCAGGATGACGGTGCCACAGTGAAGGGAAAAAAAGTTTTATCCGAAAGCGAGAAGGGAGGACGACACTAACCTCGCATGCGCCGTTGACGAATCTATCCTGGTCTAATACATACATAGGCTCCGTCTCCCAGAGGCTGCTCGTACGCTTCACTTTGATGCCTCGACGGTCCATCTCGGCGCAGGCCTTCTCGATCCAGCCGACGCGGTCGCCGAGATTGCTGCCGAGGGCGATGTAGGCTGTCGTCGGGCCCCTCGGGCGCTCGACACGCTTGCCGCCGCATCCACCGCCGCAGCAGGCGGACCGGGTCTGGACGGCGGGCATGTTCGGCGACGGAGTCCGGATGGTAGGCCGGGCACGGGAGCGGGAGAGTGCGGCAGGGGTTGTGGAGGCTGGCGAGGATGATGATGTGCAGCGGGAGGGGCGGCGCACGGAGGAGCCGGTGGTGTAGCAGTTTCTTGGTATCGTGACCTGTTCCCGGACAAGTCGAGGCGTTAGGGCCTGACAGCGGTGCGCATTGCTGCTGCGTGCTAGGGCGCAAGCTCGCGAAAAAAGGGAGGGGTGGCGGAGAGGAATTGGGGGTTTCATCATGGCAAAACGTGAAGGCGCCCACCGATGGTGTGTGTTTGTGTGGTGAGGGTCGTTAGTCGTGATGGGAGAATCCTGCAGCCAATGAAAACGAAGCGCGGTGGTCCCTTGGAATTGAAGGCTTAGGTAAGTGAGGCGTGGGCTTCTTTGAGTCATGCGTTCCACCTCAGTCTTCAGGGTCCTCGTTCAGGATTGATAGGCTGCTAAGCATTCACGATGTTAGGCCTGGTGGAGGTCGACACGCAGCGGTCCGTCGTCGACAGAACCCACTGTCTTATCGTTATCGTCGCGGTCCGGAATCCGAGCACTTCGCTCAGCTTCAATCCTCGCTGTGGTTACACCGGACTCCAATAGTCGAAGTCTGATCATGTCATGATTCAAACAAAGTTTGCGACCTCATTTCCAAACGTTCTGGAACGGAAAGCAAGCGCCTGTCGACTCGGGGGCTTTGACCCGCTGTCAGCCACTGTCACCCTTTGTTTGGAGAGGCGACCGTGGCCCAAAGAGAATGCGAAGGATGAAGCCCTCAGATCTGAGAACTGAGCCTCGCCTCCAGACCAAGATCTACCCAGTCCCGACATGCAAGCCCGTGATGAATCACCTCACTCCGCAATGTGCAACCCCCCAGTTATGCTTTGCCTTGCAGCAACTTGTGAATTGTCCCCTCTTGTGTTTGGCCCTCGGCATCTTTTCCCCAGATCCACCCCGCCGGGCTTATCCACCCTGGCGCGCTACGCCCGGATAGGCTTAGTGGCTGAGGTCACAGGTAAACCTCGGCAGACCATGGGCGCATGGCAACGCACTCCGCCCCTTCTTCCCCAGGAAACCAGCTGTTTGAAGCCGAACGCTACTACCGCCGGGCCTCTTTAAACCGCCGATTGCCAGCTCTTCTCCTCCTTGCAACAGCACCGTTTCCTTCTCTCATCCACAAACTCTGTAATCCAGCCCAGGTTCCTTTTCTCTGTACGATTTGCGATCTAGTATACCCAGACTCGAAGTATCATACCACAACTAGCACATCAGTCAACATGGCTTCTCCTCGTAAGTTGTTCAGCCCAGGCTCTCCTGTCACATGCGCCAGGTGAAATAGTGCGCTGACACGTTGCGCAAAACAGAGCAGATTCGCACTCCCATCACTGATCTTTTCAAGATCAAGCACCCAATCCTGCTTGCAGGTATGAACGTCGCCGCTGGTCCCAAGTTGGCTGCCGCTGTTACCAACGCCGGAGGTCTCGGTGTCATTGGTGGTGTCGGATACACCCCAGACATGCTGAAGGAGCAAATCGCCGAGCTCAAGGAGTACCTCGTCGACAAGAACGCACCTTTCGGTGTTGACCTGCTTCTCCCCCAAGTCGGCGGCAGCGCCCGCAAGACCAAGTAAGAACTCATCCCCACGCCGGAGGAGCCGCGCGCGTCACATGTGAATGCCTTTGTGCTGACCGTATCCACTTAGCTACGACTACACCAAGGGCAAGCTTGGCGAGCTCGTCGACATTATTATCGAGTCCGGCGCTAAGCTTTTCGTCTCCGCCGTCGGCGTCCCCCCCAAGGCTGTTGTCGATAAGCTTCATGCCAATGGCATTGTCTACATGAACATGATCGGCCACCCCAAGCACGTCCAGAAGTGCCTCGACCTCGGCGTCGACATCATCTGCGCTCAGGGTGGTGAGGGTGGTGGTCACACCGGAGACGTCCCTACTACCGTCCTCATTCCCGCTGTTGTCGACCTCTGCAAGGGTCACAAGAGCCCCGTCACTGGCGGCCCCGTTCAGGTCATCGCCGCCGGCGGCATTCACAACGGTCAATTGCTGGCCGCTGCCCTGATGATGGGCGCCGGCGCCGTCTGGGTCGGAACCCGCTTCATTCTTACTGACGAGGCCGGCGCCCCCAACGCCCACAAGGAGGCCGTCCGCACTGCCGGCCACGACGACAACATCAAGACCCTCATCTTCACCGGTCGCCCCCTGCGTGTACGCAAGAACCCGTACATTGAGAACTGGGAGACGGAACGTCAGCAGGAGATCAAGGAGCTCACCGCAAAGGGTGTCATCCCGTACGAGGCCGATCTTGAGAAGCTGATGAACTCTGGCGGTGACGGTGAGGGTAGCGGCAGCGGCAGCGACGACAACGCGTCCGAGGTCGATATCGACGATGCCCTGGACCAGTTCCGCCCCTTCCTCATGGGCAAGGCCGCTGCTGTCTGCAACGAGCAGAAGCCCGCCAAGGCTGTTGTCGACGAGTTTGTCAACGACGCCGTCGCATGGCTCCAGAAGGGCAACAAGATGATTGCCAAGTTGTAAAATCGTAAAAATTTGTTTCGCGCCACTGGCGAGAAGTTGGTCGCATATTGGGCGGCGTCCAGGGAAGCCTAGGCTTGACGTCCCCCCCGGGCCTGGAGTTTTGAGGCTCATGTATTGTATATAAAGAATGATCTAGGACACGACAGCTAGCAGCATATCATGAATGATTTCTTTTTCTTCCACACCTAAATTGTCCAATTTCTTGCATTATCTTCAAGTGCCTATGTACGTGCTTTTCGTGTGCTAGCCCGCGCAAGTTGGTCGAATCCCTCTGTGGACATTGACAATCAACCCGCGCGCTGACTCTTAAACCTCGGCGCGACCCATGCTGCTCGCATTCTCTTGCTCTGATGTCTTGTTTCGAAGGTTCCACACTGTCGGAAGCATGACCCCTGATGGCTGTGCGGCAGCATCGTGGGACCACCTCAGACCCAGTGCACATTTCACGTGTCAGTCGGGACCATGGAGTGCTAAGGATAAAAGTTCAAATCTATTCATTCCACAGTTATGTATTACCTAACCAAGAACAGTTTCATCACTCCGTGTCGCCGGCTCTGTCAGTAGACCTCGTGCCCAAAAATCACAACACGCAGCCTACTGTCCCTCCCACCCGCAGGCTCGGTGGATGGGTCCGTGGCAGAGCACAAGGTATCTTTCGCAAACCGCCTGGTGTTTTCCAACGTCCCGTGCCCTTTCTCTGTTTAGGTCCGAGCTGTTTCGTCCGTAGATGCCGCTAGGATGTGTCCACGTTCGTCTTTCTTCGTCGCAAATCAAAATTCGAAAAGCATTCTCTCCTTCCCTTTTGCCAATGCCATACGCCTTCGCTTCAAGTCTCTCAGCTGCCGAGGTACGCACGGATGGCACCCTGGAGCTTCTGGCTGGCCTCGCCTGCCAACTGGGTGAGGTTCTCGAGGTCGTCGCCGGCCGTGATGCCGAATCTGCGAATGAAGTCCTTGGCTGCACCCTCCAGATCGCCGTACTCTTCGGCAGGCTCATCCTCGGGTCGGCCAAAGTAGGCGTTCGAGGAGATCGAAGTAGCGCCCTCGAACCCTTGCAGACGCGTCTTGGCCTCGGCCTGGGCGTTGGGGTCAAACGATCCCTTGCCGAAGAATTCGTCTGAAGAGATACCCTTCTGGGCACCGAACTTGTTGCGCGCGTACGTCTCATCGTTATCTGCAACGGCTGTCAGTGATGATGTTCCCGTGTTTTCGAAATTGGATGTCATACCCTCAGAAGCGGCCTTGATGGGTCCAACGGAGCCGAATCCGCCAGCGGCAGCCTTCTTAGGCGCAGCTGCACCCTTGGGCCCACCGACCTGACCAAAACCAAGTCTGGTGACACCCATGCCCAATCGCTCCACTTCGGCATTGGACTTCTGACGGGTATGGCTAGAAGAGCCGTAGCCGCCCTTCGGGCTAGTGGGGGTGGGGGCAGAGATGCTGTCGACCTTGGAGGCGGCCTTCTTCTCTTCTTCAGCCTCAGGATCGTAGCCCAGCTTCTCGATGCGCTCGGCCTCTTCCTTTGCCTTCTTCTCGGCCTCGTCGAAGTCGATAACGTCGGCATTGACCTTCTTGACGCCTAACTTGGGGGCCTTCTTGGCGCCCAAGATGTTGGCCTTGCGAGGTCCGCCGGCGGTTGTCTTGCGGAGAGCAGCAGATGTAGTCACACGGCTGGCGGCGGGCTTGTTGTCACCGTCGGTCTTGGACAGCGGAGAGGAGGAGCGAGCAATGTCCTTGGCACCGTTGTTTGCGTTGAGGAAGGGTGAGGGGGTTCGGCCGACAGTCGGGGGAGTCGCAGTACGGGAGATGGGAGGCGTGGGCTTCTTGATGGCAGGCTTGTCCCAGGAAGAGAAGAAATCGTCGTCAGGTTCGCCGGATGGGGTGGAGGCGTCGGCTTCGGTGGCGTCGGTGATCACAACTTCATTGGGGTATCTGGGAGCCAGTCAGTCAACTCGAGATGTGGCACGTTGGTAGCATCTTGACGCACTCTTGAGCATCTCTCGCGGCTCGTCTCTTAAGCTCATCCTTGTACTTGGTGGCAGCGCTGGATTGGTACTTCGTCTTGGGGTCCTTGCTGTTGAGAGCGGCGGTGCCTCCGTTTTGCTGGAAGAACTTGGTGGCCGACTCGTTTCCGCCGACCTTCATGAGGCGTAACTGGTCCCATTGCCATTCTGTAGGGGTTAGTCTAAGAAGACGTGGCCTCAAATTTCAAGCACATACGATCGAGGTTGGTGGATCGGACGAATGAGATATGTACACCGAGGTTTCGGTGGTTAGACGAGCAGTCGAGGCAGAGGTAGATGCCGAAGGGAACAGAGGTCCAGGTCGGGTACTTGGCGCCGCAATCGAAGCAAATCTTTGATGCACGCACAGTCAGTATTGAAAAGGGGCCGAGGCCATCAAAGGGCGCGGATGTAAGGCATTACCTTGTTCGCAGGCTTCGTCTTCAGCTTCTCGAAGATCTTCAGCGACTGCTGCTTTGAAGCGAGTGCAGCCATGGTGACGGTGGGTACAAAAGATCCAGGCCTTGACCGAGTACAATGCGCTACCGCTGCGAAGAGGATGTCGAGGACGAAGAGAGCGGGTTGCGGGTACTCAGAGATGGGAGGTGCGCCGGCGAGAGCGAAGCAGGGAGCGGAGATATCTGAATTTCGTGTCCAAAAGTTCAGGAGGCAGTCGCCGCCCTTCGGTGAAGTGGCATGTAATCAGTGCGCTAGTCCGAATGAGGCTAGCTCCCTTTCCCCACAGTGGACTGGCAGTCTGAATTCTGCCGAGGGCGGTCAACACCTTTTGCAGAGCTCGAAGGCCCAGCTACACAGCTGCAGCTATGCGCTGCCGAGCTTTCTCGATGATCATCCTGCCCTGCTCATCGGCCTCGTACGATGGCTGACGCCGAACCGCCATGATGAAAGCAAATTCTAGATCGCTTGCGATTCGAGCTCCTTCGACATTGGGCCTTGCGCCGCGACTCCAACCCTTGCTTGTACAACGGTATTATGCGACACAGACGGGTCTGGGAACGACCGCCACATCCAAGTCGAAGCGCCGAACGGTCACGCCATTCAATGATACCGGAGCCGTTCCATGGGCGGAACTTTCGGCAGGCGAAAAGGCAGCGCGAGCTACACAGCAGACTTTCAACTTCGGTTTGATCCTGGCAGGATTGTTCGTCACGGCAAGTCATACGATGCATTACCCCGCGGCGAATGCATAGCTGACGTTCATGGACAAACCAGGGCGGAGTAGCATACGTTTTATACACCGATGTTTTCTCCCTCGATAGCAAGACTGCGCACTTCAACCGAGTTGTCGACAGAATCAAAAGCGACCCTAAGTGCGTCGAGTTGCTTGGAGACCCCAAGAAGATTTCGGCCCATGGAGACGAAACGTACAACAAGTGGCGTCGGGCTCGCCCCATTGCGTATGTTTCCAGTCCGGTGTTGTTTGGGCATAGAGGTCTAACAGAGACAGTTCGACGATAAGTACCGACTCGAGAGGCCATGAACACCTGGTGATGCACTTCTACGTATGGCCTGAACTTTGACGCCACCGCGCAACCTCATCTGACTTTGATTTCTAGGTCGAAGGACCTCTCAACAGAGGAACGGTCTACTTACATATGATCAGAACGCCCAGCAGCGGCGAGTTCGAGTACAAGTATCTCTATCTTGACGTCAAGGGGCATCACAGAATCTACTTGGAGAATGCGGATACGGGAACAGGCTCTGGGAAGAAGGGTTTCCGCTTTCTTGGTATCAGCTGGTGACGACTGTACGATGAATTCCTAGGTGGCACGAGTTCTTGTAAGATAGAGGGAGGTCTAGCCAAGAGGTGGATTGCTTAGTGTTCAGTGCCAATTGACACTTCACGGAGGCATTCATGACCCTTCGGTCGTCGAAGTCGCGTATGCAAAGTCACTAAGCATGGCTCGAGTGTGAACTACGGTTTCAGACCAATTGCTTCAACCGATGCTGAAAACTTACTTGCAAAAAGCTTGGAAAACGGGTTATACGAGAAAGAGCTGGTGCAAAACAGCATTATCCAATGTTCGTTCTACGCCGGGGCTACGTAGTATACATCCCAATGTATTCGCATATCATTGTCCCAACAAGACCTCACAGTATGAAGTTGATATCAGATCTTAACCAACTCATCTCAACTATCAAGTTCATGCTGCTTTGAAGATAATTCAATTCACGGACAATCGCTGGTAACCGTACTACTTAGTGGAACACCGTCAACGATCAAATAATTCGAGGAATCAATAACACATTGCTCCGATTCTTTTTTGGCTTTATCGTGAATGTACAGGAAGATTCGCTCTCCAGGGGAAGATGCCCAAGAATGTAAGGGACTTCGACCTGACAAGGCTCTGTTCGACAAAACAACCCGGGACAGCTACGAATACCACCAGCGACGAGATACCATCTTGTTTTCAGCACCTGATGTTCCGTTGAAAACAACTCAGACACAGTGATATTGTTGCATAGCTCGCTCCAATCGAATGACAAATGACCTCAGGTAATATGCTCCTACGGATCGGTCCCTGTTAGATATGATGGATAGATGACTTGTAAGTCGATTAATGATCACATCAAGCTGGCCCTGTTAGAAGGGTGAGTACACAGTCTTGTATTTATTGTCAATTAGTGGTCTGCCAAGTTCTTCCAAGTAGAAAAGATAGAAGCTATGACTTCCAAAGCATTACTCTGTGGGGCTTTTTTTGGTTGAGCAGATGCCGGACTACAATCTCTCACCATTCCCTCTCGCCGTACATCGTAGCCTACTTGACAATCGGTCTTACAACTTAAAGGCGGGCGAATGTCTCGAGCCAGTGTATATGAAAATGCTGCTTCGAATGAGAGTGCTACAGTAATACCGATCGAATAGAACCCCTGCCAACAGTTGAGAAGTATGGCGCTCACTGGATTGTTGCTACCCTGCCCCATACTATATGGCGAGTTCCACCTCAAAGATCACGACAAGGGCCTGGATTTAAGCCGTATCACTAGGAAACATAGGAACGACTCGCTATTGTGGTAGGGTTCAGTCAAATTATTTTCGATGCCTCAATGGCCCAGAGAGTGCCTCGACGACAACTGTCACCCAACCCTGAGTTCTAATCTAGCGCCAGAATCTGTCAGCAACTAATTATAAGTTCCTTTCTTTAGTCCTGTTTCTGTCGTTATCTATTTGCGTGTCATTCCAACTGTCACATTCTTAAGTCCCGATTCCACAGTTTTAGCAACACCGGCGGTGCGTGTCGTTCAAGACGCCCCCTTACTACTTGCTGCACGTCTACGTCTCCATTCAACAACAGGAATATCAAGGGAATTAATTGATGACGGTTCTTGAAGCCGGGAGGCTCTGACTTCAGTACACTGACTGCCATACAAGGAGCAAGCGTTCAATCCGCAGGTTGTTGCCATTTGGCTGCCGAATGACAGGCTGATGCCCATGACACAGTCACTCTTGGTTACGACATCAACCATTGAGTTATTCTACGTTGATACTTCTTGGCTGTCTGAAATTCGGTCGAATAATCCCCGTACCACAATCCGAGTCGACGGATCGGTGCGATTTTCCCAATTGTACATTGCCACCCGGCATCGATGGTTCAACTAGTCTCCAAAGAGCTGCAAGCAAGACGCCAAGCTCGACTTGGGTGCTCCCCGGTGTTTACAATTAACTCATCATACTACACGTTGCTTTTCATGACGGACTGGACTTCAGGAGTCGAATCCTGGCTAAAACGCTTGCTAGTCCAGGCTCTATCATCAGAGACCAAAGAGCGGCAGCCAAGTCTAAGCTTATACCCCGACTAGAGTGTGTTCAAAACCCGCAACCCACTTCGACATTCCACCCGTACATTGATCAATCACGTCTGGATGTAACGAACCCTCCGGAGACTCACTTTTTCGACTTGATTGCTCGATTGAAACAAGTTCTCAAAAAGCGCGCGTCAGCCTCCCGAAGTTCCTGCTTGGCTCCCTCACAGCCACGTAAGCGGGACCGTAAGCAAGCGCTCTCGAGGGCTCTTGATTCGCCCAACCTGCATTCAGCTCTGTTGCCTAAAGAAACGCCGACACACCAAAGCACGGCGCCGCACTTCCACAGAAAGCACAGGCAACCGCTAAACGAATGCCAAAGGCTGGGGTAACTGAGTGGCAGCAATGGGATGCGTCAAAGCAGATCATCGGCAGGGCTGACTTGATGGACAACCGGGCTCATCCACAGGTTGCATATATGGTGATTGCCTGTCCCAGGCAGAAAGACACCAACGTCTGTCTCTGCATAGGTACCTACATACGAATTACAGCCACCTGACCACAAGCCCTCCGCCACAGCCTCATTGACGACACGAGCCCCTCCAACCCCACACATCTTCGCCGTCAAATTGAACATCAACTTGAAGTAGCCTTCCTCCATCAAATGTGCATCCCTCGCCCTCGCAGACACAAGTCATCCAGCTCCTCGCCCATCCCCAACATTCCCTATCGTCGCCTCGAATCACCGCCCCCAACGCCCCCTCGCATGGCTCCCTGGCCCCTCCCCAACTCGACTCTTCCTCCACCCATGGGCAACGGCAGCGCCATGCCAGGGCCGCCCAACACCTCCGCAGCCCGCGTCTCATCACAACACGAGCGCCTGCTGCTCGAGCTCCTCCCCTTCAAGGAGGCGTCCAAGTTCCACGAGTGGCTCGACAGCCCCTTCGTCCGCGGGCCGTGGAATGAGTTCAACGCCGACTTCCTCATCCCCCGGAGCGGGGCCGCCGCCGCCGCCGGCGAAGGTCCGGCCGGGATCCCGGAGCCGGACAAGCCACGCACGGCGCAGGCGGCGCGCGACGCGCTCAACTCCCGCAAGCCAAAGTTCCTCGTGTACCACCCGGACAAGACCGGCTGGACGCCCGAGGACCACCACGTGCGCTTCATCGTGACCCTCGTCGCCGACAACATGCTGCAGAACCTGTGGTACGAGTCGGAGTGGAAGAAGCGGGGTCTCGACATCGCAAAGGCTGCTTACGAGGTGCTCATCTTCCTCAAGGCTACCTTGTTTGTCGACCCCAGCCCGCCGAGTTACTCGGCATGAGAACTGAAGTCAATTATTGTACCGGTTTTTCTTTGGCTTTTTTTGTCTTTTTTGATGGGGGTGTGCATTGGCGTGGGGGGAATAAACAGGTCAACGGGCGCAATCGGCGTTTGCACATGGCGTTTTCTTTTCACGAGGAAGAGGAGGGGGTGGAGGGGGACATGAACCGATTGAATTTCTTGCAAGGTTGGCCAATCGCGACGCATAGCAGCCATTGACGTCCTCATGGCAAGATCAGATCATCTACGAAAAATCTCAACGGAATTTCCGAAGAGCTGCGGAGAGTCAACTCACTCACTTCCCTTTTCACATGGTAAAACTTAAGAAACCAAAAATGCCGTCATAAAACCGCTCGTGAACGCGATGTTGAGACCGAACAAGCTCCCGTCCCGCACACCCACACCCACACCCGAGGTTGAGTTGACATGGACATGATGATGCGCCCCGGAAAGCTTCACTTGAATGGGAGGCGTGGTGATGATGCAAGGCCGAATTCTAGACCACCGGTTCCCCGTGTGCCCTACCCCAACAACCTGGTAATTGCTCTGCCGTTGTGAGGGGGGAAACGTCTTGTACCTTTCATGCGGGCCAGCGAGCACCCACCATGAGCCAATTCTAATATTGCGGAGCACGCCGGTGTTGGGTTGGCATGTGACAGAATAGTTCAGAGAGAGAGATAGACACAGAGAGATACAGAGAGAGTATCAGAAACCCGAGAGAGAGCCGTAACTACATCCTTCCGACTTGGCGCATACTTCCCGAGGCGAAACATGACAACTGCCCTGGCGAACTCTGTCAAACTCTCTGAGAATACGCAACAACCCAGACTGAATTTGAAAGTAGCCCCTACGAGCACACCCCCCCCTTCCTTTCCGTTCCTTGTTCCGCGCTGTTGAGCAGTACTTGTAACTCTTGAGAAAGGACTCAGTTTGCGCATGCCGGAAAACGGACCGATGTGTGGCCTTGGGGGTTCTGCCTTTCTTGATTGTACAATCACGTATCCTCGGCTATGCGTGCGTGTCGTATAACCGAAGACTTTAGGAAAGAGGTGCGAAAGAAGCGCCTAATTTTTCGGGGAGAAGGATGTAGCAGGTATTTGTCTCTGATACGCAACCTTCCGGTGTGCATGCATGTCCACGCCAGTTTGCGCAATCAAGTTTGTCACGACACGACGGGTTGCACTTGGGAACGTAGAGAACCATTGGCAGACAGAAAACAAAATCAGAAAACAGCAAGAAAACTCGTTGCGTCGCTTTCAATGAGCGGTCTGGAACCCGCATATGCAAGACGAGAATTGTGAGCGATCAAAGCAGCTATGCTGCTGCGGCCAAGAGAGAGACACTGCAACGCTCCCGCTGTGGCGAATGGAGCTGGACTCCGGTAATGGAAGGAACGGGGAAGGCTTCAGCTGTTCCTTCAGCCTCATCCGCATCCCATGGGCTGATGCACAAGGTCGTTGCAGCGCTTGAGGCGCGAACGAGAGGGCAGATTGGGGGGGGGGGGGGGGAGGGGAGGAGTAGGAGGAGGAGAATTGGAGTGAGGAGGCGAGGGAGGGGGGTAGACAGACGGGTAGGTAGGCGGGGAAAGCGGGATGTGTGCAGGGCCAGCTGCAAGTCATTGCTGCAAGCTCGACAACTCTGCTGCTATTTTCTTTGCTTATTTGGCGCACTCTTCGCCGAATCTTGCCTTGACCTCACGGCTTCCGGAAGAGCTAGAACATGCAAAGGGACATCATCGTCCCGGCAGTGGGAGCGGCATCGAAGAGGGCCAGCCGGGAGAGCGTTCAGCCATACAGAGACGAGGGATACCTAGGAATGCGATCAAGGCCGAGGGGGCAGCAGCTGCGGAGACAACAGAGACAAAACAAACAAACAGGAAACGGGCTTGTAGCAGGCGAGAAAAGCCAAACAGATGGCATCGTTCAATGTTTGCGTGTGGTAGTTGAGGGCCGGGGCGGGAACGCGGGATGCGGGTTGCGGCTCGTTCGCACCACAAGACAACGACAAAAAGCCGGGGTTGCCCGTGAGGACCCGGCAAGATGGAGCCAGGGTTAGACGACCTCCGCACGATTAAGCGGCATTGTGGGCTGACCAAGAAGCGGGAGGCGCCTCTGGGAGGGCTCTCGTGCAGCAAAATCGTCTCAACTCCGCGTCGGGATCTGATGTTTCTGGCCCGCCTGCCGCTGCCGCACACCTTTCTCTTTCACTCTCTCTCCGCTCTCTTGTCCCCTCCCCCCTCCCTTCCCCCCAATCTCTGGTGTGCCCTTACAGCACTCCAACTGAGCGTGGGTTGCAACCGGATGCGCGGCGAATGGGCGATCTGTATGCGAGGGGAGCGGGAGCGGCAGCAGCAGCAGCAGTAGTGGCAGCAGTAGCAGCGCAACGTAAACAGCCTCCTTGGCTGGCTGGGCTGTGGTCGCTGGCCGGCGTCGTAGTATCCCCAGGGTCCCGAGGTGCGACGTGGAACCCGCTCCCCCCGGTTTTTGCAGGACGCATCACACCAAGGGACAATGCTTGATGGTAGGCATGAATAGGTGGCAGTGAGCGGCGGCGAGGTGTATGTATCATCCGGCGGACGTTGATGGTGTGGACAGTTGCCGGGTTTGGCGATGTGATATCGTATATGTGATTCTCATGCTGCTGCGAGGAGGGCGGGTGGACGCGCCAGTGGTTCGTCGATCCGAGCATCTAATCTGTACTCTTTTTTAGACCGTGTTTCTGTCCACGGCTTCGCAATGGTGCGGGTAAGTTTGTGTGTGTGGCCTAGGCTCTAGCTGGGGTCTGGAGCGATTGTGTCGACCGATGGACATGGCATAGAGAAACAGCGTTTCAGGCGAAGCAACTGGCTGGTAGACTCGAGGCTTGGTCTATCAGACTATCCTATGCTCGTCGCACCCTCTCCGTGCCTCTGGTTCTAGCAGCCTCGGCTAGTCTGGACCGGTTGTATGACGGCAGGCGTAGTTGCAGTCGCAGAATCTACTGCCTCGCCAGTCACAGGCCAGCAAAGTCCGGCAGAGCTTGGTACCGGGATCTGGAGCGAGATAGGGTGATCTCTCGATTCCCACGATCGTAAGATGAAATGGCGTTATGTTGGATGAAAGAGCGGAGAGACAACTGGAGTGAGGCGGGGAAGGGGGCACGGAGAGAAAGGTTCAACCCATGCCGGTTCCGTCGGTGAGGTGGTCACTCTATTCATCCTATTGTGAGCCTGTGATGCAACGTTTGCTAGGGGAGTGACAGGAATAGTAGGCAATAGTTGTGCTTGTCAAGACCACACCAGTATTCGTGCATTTGGTGTGTGCAGAGGACCTACAGCCACTTGCTTGTCCGCGTATTACGACTTGACGTTCTCTTACGATGGACCCCCCGAGCAAAGCAAGGCAAAGCGGATCGCTGCCACCGGAGAATATACCGCAGTACACAGTATTGCGTACGTAGACACAGATTGTATGGATACTACTCGTTGATGCGCGCAGCCAATTGTCAGTCTCTATGAGGTTGTAGAATATCTACGGTCTACGAATACGCAGCAACTTCAAACAAGGCCAATGCATGTGCATGGGGGCGGGACGGGATTATGTCACCAATTGAAAGAAACGCGGCATTAAACAGAATCTGGTTGAGGAAATCAGTCTTTTGAGTCAACACAACTGAACCCTTGGTTTGTATGGGGAAGGGGGATCCGTACCTCTTCAGCAGACAGTGACTTCCATTACATAACGCAGCAATTCCGTTCCGCGATCCATTGGATTCGCAGTCGCGACAATGAATGAATGGAGAGGGACGGACGGGGTCGCAGGGCTGCTTGCTTGTGGCCATGTAAGGTACTCCAGACGGGCGTGCGGCTAGCAAAACGTGCTCACAGATCTGGGGCTCTGACGGAGGGCGAGATAGTCGCGAGCGGGATGTGACAGGGACCGCCTTAACCACCTACCTGTCCAGAGAGCACCCCAAGCATCGAGGTACCGCAATGTCACTCGCTGCCGAGGAATACTTTTAATGACGGGATGGACGGGAGGTGTTGTGCCCTCCAGCAGGCTTTGAAACGATAGCGTTCAGCGTTCAGCGTTCAGCGCTCCCAGCGCGGTCTGCTCGCTGACACGACAGCGCCACGGCGGTATTCCGTCCAGGGTTTTCAGGGTGTTCCAGCCGGGTGGATCCCTAAGGTACCTTACCTAGGTAGCTGGCGCCATTGGAATGGGTGGTGCAAATCCTCCTGCGCGCCCTGTGTGGGGGAGGATGACATGTCCCCATCTCCACCCACGGTCCAGCGCTTTGGCTTCCTTGGAGTTGTCCCTGGCATGGAGGCGCCTGGAGGACCCCCCCCCCCCCCCCCCCCCCCCCCCGGGGCGACGAGAGGGCCTTGGGGAACAGCTTGGCACGTCGGCGAGCATGGCAGAGAGCCTCTGGGCGCGCCAATTACAGCGCAGAATCACCACGCCTGCGAAGCGTTCCGCTGTGTCGCAGTGGGGCCCCTCGATCTGACGCCATTTTTTTCCTTCGAGAACAAACGGGGCAGCGTAAAAGATTTCCCCACGATAGCCCGCTAGCGCCTCCAGCACCCAGCCATCACGGTCCTCTTTTTTGCCCTCTATTTTTTTTTTCCCTCCTCCTTCCCCAGTAGAGCCAGCCAGCCTCCCACCCAGCCGCATCCGGACTTGCCCGGCTCTACCCAACACCTAACACGATAGCACACAGCACGCTTGTCCCGAGCCAAGCACACAACCGCTCAAAAGGCCGCGCCAACTCATCCTCCGCTGCACCTCTTCGCCTCTCGGCCTCAAATTCTCAGCCTCCATAGCCACTGTTACCGCGGCTTACCAAGATAGTGGGGTGCCCTCCCTCCCCCCCCCCCCCCCCCAAGCACACACCCAGCTGGAGGCTCTGCCCGCCGTCTCCCTCTGGCCGACATTTGGCCGATGGTGACGATGGGATTTTATGCCCTCGGTGGACCCGGGCCTTGACCGACCGCTGCTTCTTATCGGTCCTTAACCGCTGAATCTCTGGCTGCGGCGGGTCAACCGTGATATTTGGTGGAGTTGCTTGGGTTTTTTCTCCCTTCCTTCCCCAGAGTGTTTCCGCCTCACAGTTCCATAGCTCATACTGGCCAAGTCTCGGAATTCCTAAGCTTGCCTGGTCAGAAAACTCTGATGTCTCTCAGAGTCTCGTCAACCGTCTGGGGGCCACTGCTTGCCTCTGAAAAGGGCCACAAAGGGGGGGCCATTACCGTATTATCGATTCATGCTCGTCCTATCTGTCGGCCAAGCTCCGGCGCTTGGCCCGGTCCTTCTCCAGCCGGGCCCTGTCCTCCTTGGTACGGAGTAGCCAAGGTTCCTTACGGTCCGCGGCTTGTTCGTCGTTATCTCGGCCATTAGCCGTTCTGATCCTCCACTTCTTCTGCCTCGTCGTCCTTGTCACCACCATCGCCGCCGCTTCCGTTGCCGTCCTCGTCGTCGCTTTCGGCCTGCGTCCCCAGGAGTAAATCTTCGCTGCCTTGCCATTGCGGCGGCATCCCGGGAAGTGCCGCATCGTCCTCCCGCTCCCACCCGTACTCCTCGTCATCTTCGCTGTCGGGCACTTCCAGCCCTGCCTCTGCCAGCTTGCGCTTCGTTCGTGGGCTTCGAGACAGCAAAATCGATGGCTGGCTAGTATCGTAGTGCACGCCAATCAGGCCCGCCTGTCACGATAACGAGGAGAGTCAGCCAACCCAATCTCCCTTTTCGGAAACTCCGCTTCCGCCAAATTATGCCGCATTCATGACTGTGATGCCAACAAAAGTGACTGACCGCTTCAACTCTGAACGCTGCTGCGCTCTGCATCGTGTCCGGCTCAGCCTTGCCGTCTAGCTTTTGCACACCGGCGAAGCTCACGCTCGACGGGCTGCCATCCTTCCAGACCCAGTCTCTGAATAGGACCACTCGCGTTGACACCCCTTGCTCCCAAACTCCAGCATTAATGGAAGGTATCAGGGTTGGACTCCGCTCCGATTGCATCTTGGTTGCGCATTGAGACAAGACCACCACGGCGCAGTTTCTCGTCGCTGCCAGCTTCTGGAGTGCGCCGACAATGTACTGCAAGGCTTGCAATCGCTTCGCTGATAGACTGGGCCCTGCATGCTATCAGTTTGTACTCTGCAAGTCTGGGCATACCTGCAGACCTTTGCCTGGAACCGGCGCTTTCCTACCGTCCGGTGCCTTGGGAAAGGCGTGATTTACGAGTGCTGATAACGAGTCGATGACGACCAGGGCCGTATTTGTTGGTATCGTTGCGGCCGCAGGCCTACATAGCAGTGCAACGAGGTGAGGAAGACTAGGGCATGTGTAGTGAGTGATTTTATCTCTGTCCAACGATGCTGGTTGGTTGTTTTCCGATATGCGTGCCTGCTCTGCCGCATCGATCACCGCCGAAAGTCTTTGCCCGCAGAGCGAATAGGCGCAATCTTGAGAACGCATCAGTCTTGACGTCTCGTCCGACGTGATAAGGCCAGATGAACCGACCTACCCACACGGCACCTTGGCCCTCGCGCAGTGCGCTTGCCACGAGTTGGATGCTTGAGGATCTGTCAGCCCTGAGCGTGAAGTGTAGGGAGAGATGTTGGCAGTATACCCCAGTGCTGTCTTGCCAGTTCCTGGAGGTCCCCAAACCTCGGTGACCTGGCCTCTCAGGATACCCCCAGAGCGTTTCGACCCAGACGTGTCGACAGTGTCATCAGAGCTGAGGGCCTCATCTAACCGCTTGAGTCCCGTAGAGACGTGCCTTGAAAGATCATCGTCCAAGTCTTCTAGCACCTGAGCTGCGGACACAGTGGGCAATCGGTCTGCTCCAAGTCAGTGTCCGACATCCTAAGCAAGACTGGCAAACGTACGCGTAGAAGGAAGATCGAAACTGGAAACATCTTCCTCGTGAACAGCATGATACTTCTCCATATTAGGAATCGCAGATGGTCGTTCGCAGCTTGGAAATCTCAGCTGCTTTGATTCTACCTGCCTAATGCCATCGAAGTCGGGAGAATACAGTACGCGTGACTCCATCCACACACATGCCCCACATCACCTCACCAGCCACATCAGGAAACCGCGACTGTGGCGCGTGCCTACTTTTGTACCTGCCTCAACAGCCGCCACAAGATCGATTGGTATCTTCAGAGATCTGGCGCAGGTAATGACGACGACAGGCATGTCAAGGCAGACCAGACTTGGTCCATATCTTCTCCCGTCTTCCCGCCTGTGGCATCAATGGACGGCAGCTACTGAGAGTCTTGCCAAATCGATCCGGACGACTGTGCACTGTTACACACGACATGTTACTACCAGCAACCGGCCCATTGACCACATCGAGATGGCCACGGCCCAAGAAGTCACAGAAAACCTCACGAATACTCTGCAAAACTCTTGGCTCCATTCTCAGCATGCCGATACAGTCCGTCTGCTTGAGGAAGTCACCACGGATACCACCTCAGCCCAAACATCGTCTCAGCCATCCAAGCCTACTGTTACCGACTTTCTGGAACGTTTAGGGTGATTCCCGCAGCCCGTGGTTCAAATTCGGACGACAAGATATGTCAGCACCACGGCTGCATGCCCGGCCAAACGGGTGGAACGTGGTCGTCGGGGTCGACTGCTCGAGCGCCCCCAACTCGCATCTTCGGATCTCCCAACAACTAAGTCTATTTCCATCTCGTCCCGGAACATCTAGGGCCTCTCCGGTTTCAAGCTCTCTGCGACCCTACAGTCGACGGGATGCCTCCCGCTCAGACGTCGAATTGGCTCATGTTACTGCGAACGCCTGGACGAACATCTCCGCGGTTTCATCAACGTACATCGCAGCATACTTTGCTTGGGGTTGAAAAACCCTGCTACTAGTCAAGACGCAAGAGTCAGGAAGCCCCGATACCAACATTCTTGGGTTTTGAAGAAGCCACAGGCTGTCCACTGCTGGCGTAATCAACCAGACATAATTACGCCGAGAGTTGCGACCAATGGAATCTCCAGAGATATGCTTTGATCATGCCCATCAACGCCAATATCTCGAGACACTTGCGGCATGATCCCGCGTGGGGTCCTGCGGGGGTTGAGCAACCAACTTATTGACCTTGGGGTCTCCCCGTGGGACCAGGACGACCCCTCGAGAAAAGGCAGTTGCCCGAGCCGGGGCTGAGCAATATCGAGAGCCAGCATGACCTGTCCAAAATGGCTACTCGTCGGCTCGGAAATCGGGACGGTGGTTATCTACTCCACCACACGCAGGCACTGTTTGACGTGAGCAGACTGCAGAGACCCTGGCGAAGATCAAGGCCGTACGACAAAAAAATTGTGTCATACCTGACGGCGAGGTCGCTCCAATTCGACGGACGACGTCCTGCAGTATTGAGCCTCAAGTTCCCAACAAGAGCACGACCAGGATGTTCCCGACGATTACGCTTTGTCAGAGGATTGTGATTCGAGGAGAACATGCCACGATGCTCTAGATGTGTTCATGGATGTAGCGCCCCTTGTTTCCGACCGTCAGTCACAGACTACCGACTCCATTCCGAGGATTCGACAGATCACGTTGTCCACTTGATGGAGGCCACTTGCTGGAGGCCTGGTGAAGCTGAAATCCTGAATCCTCTCACATGAGCACTGGACCACATGTCGTTCATCTCACGAACTGGGGAAAAGTGCCAATAATCACCCGTATGGCATGGGTGTTTCCGACCTGGGGTTAATAACGCGAAGCGCAAGCGGAGTTGTCTTCTTCCGTATCATTCTCCCGCAAATTGTGTGGGGGCAGGCATCGGGACTCGGGGCAGCGTTTTGCGGCGCTTCAAATTGCCTGAAATCGCGCGCTCACAGGTGCGGTTAAGCAGACCGTCAGGGCGCCCAATAACTCTGAAGTTACAGTCCGGCCGGTCTGGCCAGACTTTCTAGCTTCTGCATCCATGTGAGATGCAAGGTACGCGCTTCCCCAGCATTTCCCTCTGCCATTTTCATGTGCGAGAATGCTACCGTTTCCCCAATAGCTGATTGCGGTTCCCCAAGCTTTGTCGCTGACATCATTCCTCGAATTTTGTCTTCGGGGAAAAGGGACCGATTTCCCCCTGGGGTACCCCCCTTTCCCCCTTATCTTTTCACATGTGATAGCAACGAGGGGCCTACCACGCAGTACCTGCATTCCAAAACTCAAGCCTTTAACGACGATACAAATCCGATGACGGAGCGATGCCTCATTGAGGGATGCGAGTTGACGCCGTTCATTCGTCTGTTTGCGTCTCACTGAGTCGACCAGGACAAGCCAGAGATTTCACCGGCGCCACTCACATGCCGCCAGCTCTGACCAAACGGAAGCTCAGAGGAGCTGGCTTGCTTGTTTGCTTGTGCTCGTCGGGGATTCTCGGGATCTCAACCTCCCTCAGAAAACTGGGACCCAGGCTCATAACTACACACCACGTATTGGCTTGTACGCCCTGAGGCGTGGCTTTGACTCTCCCCACAACCTATCTACATCCTCTGTATCGTCCCCCCGTAAAACGCCATCCCCGGTCCATTCCCAGGCCCCCAGATATGCTGCCTTTTTCAGGAAGCTGGTTTCAAACACAGGCGTGTCCCGGCAAGGAGACTCGGGTCAATCTTCACCCAGGGCAGATAACACAGTACCGCCGTAACCCAGCCCATCGTCCTTAGCTCAATGAGCTACCGCCCTGTCTCCCGAAGAATTTTGCGGGGGTACCTCCATTGAGAGGCATGTCTGGGGAAGCTTGGGCAGATCCATTCTGTCACTGAAGAGCTCGGTTCATTTCCGCTGTACTGCGTACTTATCCCGTCCAGCCAGGCACTGACTCATGCTCGGGCGAGTTTCGTAATCGAGAGCTGTCGCGATAGCCCCCAGTTAACGCGAGGAACTGAGCGACGATACACCCGTTGATGGCATTGAGAAGTCCTACAAGAGCTAGTTGCTCCGGCGCTTGTGAGCCGGCGCGTTCTATGATATCAAATCCCCAGATTCCAGAACATCATGGCTCGCTACATGTCCAAGACAATGTTTTGGGACTGAATGCATCACAAGAACGCTTTTTTCAGGGGCAGAGGGGTCAAGGCAGGACTGGAAACAAGTCAGCGGGGTTCTCTCCGCGCCATTGCCGAACAATAGTTTCGTTGAGTAAGACAACCAAGCAGAGCGCGACTGGACGGGAACCATGCATTATTGCTATTGTTGCCGGCACTGGAAACGCCATCGGTCTTTCGACCCCCGGCACACAGGCAATCGTTATGCAAGATCATCGCGTCTGCCCCGCGAAATCCGTCGGAAATTTTGGGCGTACCTGGAGGCAGCTGTGTGGTACGCTCTATCCCACTATGGTGCGGTGGGCGTACGATTCTCCGCATTTCACAATTCCGCCGCCATCGGACCACTTGATAGAACAAAGTCACAAATGTCTGAATCAAAGCCGACAGACTTGTTCTTCGGCTACTGTGTGATGGATAGGTATCCGTACAAACACGCGTACTGAGAACGGCAAATCGGGCGGCTTTTGCTCTTTGTCGGTACCCGCCAACAGGCCATCCACAACCTTTGCACCCTGGGTTCATTATGGGGCGTCTTAAACCACACCCACCCTCCACACCCCCTAAGCTACAATTTAGGGCTGGGATAGTGCTAGAGGCTAGTAACTAGAGGTCCTTAGATTTAGCTAATTAGAAACTAGGGATTAAAGTTATATAACTTTTGCGATTTAGATTTTTATTATAGTAATTAATATAACTTAATAAGGGCTTTTTTTTTATAATTTTAATTAAAAAGGTTAATAAGAGAAAGAAAAACTATTAATTTAAGCTTTTTAGTACTCTCTAAAGCTTCTAGAAAGTTTAATTTAATAATTTAATAATATTAATATTACTACTAGCTACTTTTATTATTACTAGTACTTATTATTATATAACTCTATATAACTTACTTTAGTACTATAGTATTATAAGATACTAACTTTCTTAGTAATCCTATTTAGCGTTAGTAGCTTATATATTAATAACTTTAACTTTAACTATAGGTCTCTTATTATTATTAAGTAGAATATTTACCTCCTCTTTAATTTTATACTAATCTTTAAGTAATAAGCTATTATATTACTAATAAGCTTATAGGGCTTTTATATTAGGTTTATAGAGGTTAAAGCTATAAGTTTTAAAGTATTATAGGTTATACTTTATAGTTAAAATACTTATTAAAGCTATTAATATAGTTAATATTAATAATAATAATAGTAAAGCTCTAATTATTAGAGTAACTATAAGCTTAGGTTTAATAAGTTTTATAAAAGTAATAATAGCTTAAGTAGTAGCTTAAGTAGTAGCTAAGCTAATAGTATCTTAGTGCTTAATATATTTACTTACCTCTACTATAGTAGGGATTTAATAAGTGTTATTAGTTTTATAGCTCTTCTTATAATTGGGTATACTATAAAAGTAGCTCTTACCTCTTATAATATTAAGTTTAAGTAGAGGTAAGCTATTAATAGAGGTCTCTACTTTTAAGTTAAGGTAATATTATACTTATTAGTAGTAATAGATCTAAGTAATCTTAAAGAGGTCTTTATTTTATATATAGTAATAGAGAAAATATTAGTAAGGTAATTTATAGGTTTTTTAGATTAAGTAAAGTAAGTAAAGTAGAGAGTTAGCTAATAGAGGTTATAATAAGCTATTTAATTAGTTATTATACTTTAGTATGTTATTTTAAAGCTACTTTTTTATAAGATTAAGTGCTTTTAGTAATATAAGAGACTTAATATAGCTAAAAAGTATAGCTTTAAGCTTAATAAGGTTAAGTAGGTAGTTAACTAAAAGAGATTACTTTAAAGTAATCTTAGAGCTCTAATTAGCTTAAGCCTATTTAAGACCTAAGAAGACCCTATTAAGAATAAGGTTACTTATAGGTAGTTATAATTTAA